GATCGAAAAAAATAAAAAAGTACCCTCAAAGTACGTAGCGTTTTATAGAGTGATTTGTAAAAATAATTCAGACAGAAAAAATATTCAAAAAGTTCTCAAATTAAGTAATGAATATGATATAAAAAATTAGATAATAAGATATTGGATAAATATTTTATAAAAAATTAGATAATAAAGATATTGGATAATAAATATTTTATAAAAAATTAGATAATAAAGATATTGGATAATAAATATGTTATAAAAAATTAGATTAAAATTACTTTATTAAAAAATAGATAATTTATATGTTATAAAAAATTGTATAGTAAATATGTTATAAATAATTAGATAGTAAATATGATAGAAATTTTTCCCCAGATTGTTTCTATCAAAAGAAATACACTTGAACAGTTCAAATCTGAATCAAAGCGTTTTTTATTATCTACGGACTTAAATTTTCTTTTTCTTTTTTAGTATAAAATAAACTAGCACAATTTATTTCTTTTATTTGTTTTAACTTTTACTTGTTCTAAATTTATTTTACTAAACGAATTTATATATAAACAGTTATATCAATTGTAAAACGTAGTTTTTCACATTTTTACATATTTTATCACAAACAATTTATCACGATTTTATATATTTTGTTGTAAAAAACGACCTGAAATGAAGTCACTATGGGGCTCGGTGATAAGACAAACTGATGTCTTCTTCTTGCTCCAGCCATTTGTTTTATTATTTATGTTATTTTATAAATTGTAACTTTCTACGGCAAAAAATTGAAAAAAAAAAAATAAAAAATAAAAAAAAATAAAAATAAAAAAATAATTAGTGGCTAAAACAATGATTTTTTTTATTAATGTTGGTCTATCTTTAGCATTCAAAACTGAATCTCCCCAAATCAACTTTGATGAGTTAGTTTCTAATGATACTTTTGATATGTCTAACAATAAACTTACTTAAAGATGAATTATTAAATGCAGTCTTCTTTAAACATTAAAAAAAGTATTAAAAAAAGTATAGGAGTTGGCAATAATTGATATATTTAAAAGGTTTAAAGAAATTTAACTTAGATGTCTATTGATTAAGCTTGAGAGAACATACAAAAGTAATTGAAAATAAAATTTCAAAAAATATTGGAATAACAAAATAATTGTACAAAGCTTAACAGTTGTTAAACCAGTATTGTTGGAAATACATATATTTTTTATTTATACATTGTTACAATTTAACATTTACATATATGTAAATGTTAAATTTTTTTTCTACTTTTTTTTTTTATAGAAAATAAGGTTTTAAAGCAATTTCTATAGAAATTAATAGACATTCTATTGAAATTCTATAGAGTTTCTCTACGCCATATGTTTCAAAAGTTTATAGAAAATTCTATAGAATTTTTTTTCCTCGGCAGCCACTCAATGCTCAATCACAGAGGCCCTTATGTATATACTTCTGTATGGAATACACTTCTGTATGGAATACACTTATGAATGGAATACATTTATGTATGGAATACACTTATGTATGAAATACATAAGTGGATAGGATATGTACAGGCGGGATAGGGGGTGTGATATCTCCCATCAATGATTTTTAGTTGGCAAATTTGACCCTTAGTCAACAAATTTGATCCTTTTTGACTAGTTAGACGGCAAATGTAGACCCTGTCAATAGATTAGTCGGTAAATTTAGTCAGTCAGTGGGCAAATTTTCAAAAACGGGGACCTTTTTTTTTTTTTTAAGTCGGCAAAAGTTTTAATTGCACCCCCACCCCACCCCCACGTGACATCTGCTCTCGCCTGTCCTAAATACAATAATATATGGAATACACTTTTAAGTAATAATCTTAAAACACTTTCTTCACTAAATCAATAATCAATAAGACTTAAGCAAAATCTTTTTATAAATAATAATGAATTTTCTTCTAAGGCATTTAAATGAGAATACTTTTTTGATGGATTCTTAAAAAATATGCATTCGTTTACTTCTAATTTACGTATAACATCTAATTTACGTATATATATGTGTTTTCTTATAATCTATTTTTTTATTTTTCTCATTATTTTTAATCTAAAAACAAGGCAAGGTAATCCCAAGACTGGAGCTGGAAGCAGCATATACCCTGAGAAAAATGTATAAAATATTAGGAAGAAATTAATTACGTATAACATTATTGTAGTTTATATTTGGGTTGATGGTACTGGTGTAGTTTACTGGTTAACAGAAAGAGCAGTGGTAAGTCACAGTTTGTCAGAAACTAAGTTTAACAGATAATTTTAAATGAAGTAGTAAAATGGTTTTACGTTCTGACAAAAGAAAATCTTGGAACAAGAAGAGTGAGTCAGGAATTATGGTTAAAAGAATTATGGTTAAAACAAAAAGTAAATTTGCCAAACAGATTGGGAATTGTATGTATCATGTGAAAGTATAGTTATAAAAGAGAACATCTGTATGGTAAAAGGTTATCCATAAAGTACGTATGCTTTTTTTTCAAAAAGAAGTAAGAGCATTAAAAAAAGATTTTGGATATCAAATTTGAGATTTGCTATAAATTAAAAAAAAAAAACTCAAAAAAAAGTTTATTTCAAGTGTGAACAGAATCAATTTTTCAAAACAAAAAAATCAGTAGAATTGTAAGCTGTGAATTATAACCTGTGTTATAATGTATTTTAAGTTAATTTTTTAATTTTTATATAAATTTGTACAAAAAAACAGCAACACTTTGTACTTTATAAAATGTTTTAATGACTGCTACAATGAATTATAATCTAAAAACATAAAATAAAAAAATAAAAATCTATAGTCATGAAAAGAAAACAATAGTTTAAAATTCTTCAAAAAACAACAATATTATTTTTATCGTATTGGTTGTTAAAAAAATTAATTACAAAAAAGTAAAAAAATTGTTTTTATTGATGAAGAATAAAATTTGGCGCAATTAATTAATTTGCTTTATTTATATTGCCAAACAACTATAGTATTAAATAATGCTTCTCTTTTCATTGGTTGGTGGCGACTAATACAAAAAAATTTGACTTTTTATATTGACGACATTGAAGTAGACACAAGATCTTATCAAAAGTAGACACAAGATCAAAACATTTTATTGTTAATGATAAGCTTATTTTAGAAAAAAAATCTCATAAATACTTTTATGATTATTCTGAAAGAAAATTTAATCACGGTTTTAAATAGCAAAATAAAAATAAAAAACTTAAATAATTAACTTAAGATTTGCTAAGATTTTCTAACAAGTCCTTAAAGAGTGTTAAAATCTCGACGCAAATCAAATGTCTCTCTCAAAGTCAAAACTTGTAACTACGAGGTGGTGTCTCTCACCTATACCGTGCAAGAGAAAACTGTTATAGATTATAAAAAGCATTATAAAAAAAACTGCGCAAAATCTAATATCAAAGTCTCAACATCCAACACAGCGTCACACAATGACTTCTTTATAAGCTTCATGATTATTATGATTCTTAAGATACGTTTCATGAAAATATGGATGTAAAGTAACGTTATTAGAAATAAAAACACAGTAATTAACTTGTATAATTGTTCATGCTTTTAACTTAAAAATATGCGTGCTTATAGAAACTGCTTTGCCCTGGGCGTCATGAAAGCTCTCGGCGGTCCTATATGTATTGACATTTTGCAAAGTGGTCTGTATTGACACTTTAAAGAACTAAAAATTAGTTAATAATACTAAAGTACTACAATGACAAACTAATATATTAATAAAAAAAATTTAAACCATCTTAATCTAAGCAATCAACGTGTATAACCGTGTATCGTTACCATTTAGCAATATAACGTTTATTACAAACTCTATTAAATTAAAATATTCATGACTTACTATATAACTTATATAGTATACTATATAACGTTATATATTGTTTCATGAATTTTTTAAATATATTGCAGTGATTTCTGCTTTAAAAAAAGCTTACTATACAAAAAGCCACCAATCTACTTAAGGGAATGTTAAAAGAACTTTGTGACCATACTTTTTGACATTTCTGACCATGTTTAAAACACACACACACACACAATTAGGATGTGAAAAATTATAAATCAACTGAAAATTTATACTAAATAAAAAATATTTATTTTTTTATTGAAAATGAAGATAAAAATAAAGATGAGCCACAAGCTTGATCCTAATAACCATAACAAAAAAAATTTGAAGAAGTGTAAAAAAAAAAGCCAGGTCTAATCGAATTAAAGATTGTTGCATGATTCGCAGTCATATGTAAATAAAAGATTCGCAGTCATATGTAAATAAAACAACTATAAACAAACCTTTTGCACCTCCTAACATCGAGTGCAATCCTGTCCGCTTTCTTTATGCTATCTTTCTAACACGACTACTTCTGTCTTTCACTTTAACATATCTTCGTTCTTCCTAAACTCACTTTACTCTTGGTCCGTAGAGCGGGTTATGACGCTCCTTGGAGAGCCGAACCTGTCTTTGCGGTACCTTGGTAATGTGGCCTCTATATGGCAATTAGCCGGAGGAGGATAAACCACAATACCAAAGATTGTTGCATGATTGAAAACTAAAACTGTAAGTGTTTTTTGTTGCATTTTTTTTCTTAGTAAAAAAAAGATGCAACAAAAATATCTCATTCTCAAGAGTTTACTATCCCTTCTGTCCTTTAAAATATGTCCTTTTCAACAACAATAATAGTTTTTATTTATTTTTTCTAATTTTTTTGTGTAAGTTGTCTTTCTGTGATTATATATTTTTAATCAAAAAAATAATTTTGTTAGTTAAGCTACCTACGGGCATTTGTTTTTAAAAGTTACGTTCTAAATGTATTTTAAATGTCTTGTAAACGTCTTCAAAACATTCTTACGTAAAGAACGTTTAAAAGAGGTTTGAAAAACGTTCAAAAGACATTTTGAACGTAACTTTTAAAAACAAATACCCGTAGGGTAATAATGATTTTGTTGATACTTTTTTCTACATGAAAATATAATAAATGAGATAAAAATTTTATTTTTTTTTTATATAGGGGCTGCTGGCGTTTTTGTTGGCCAACCATTTGATACTGTCAAGGTAATTTTTTTTTAAAGCGAACCCAGGAAAAAATGACTTATACAATTTTTATAAACTATTGAAACAAATGGCCTATAGAAATTCTATAGAATTTATATAGAATGTCTTTTAATTTCTATAGAAATTGCTATAAAACTTTTTTTTTCTATAAAAAAAGTAGAAAAAAATGTTTTATAGAAATTTCTATAGAAATTAACAGAGATTCTATAGAAATTCTATAGAATTCTATAGAATTTCTATAGACTATATGTTTTAAAAATTTATAGAAATTCTATAGAACCTTTTTTCCTGGGAATGCATTTAAGATTTTTTTTAACTTGAAAAGTTATTATCAAAAGAATAGTTAAACTGTAAAATATAATGCTAACTAAAATATAATGCTCAACTAGCCCCACCCTACCCTACACAAATATTGGTCAATAACAAACGCTACTTTGGATTAGTTTTAATGTCTTTTCGTGGCTGTTCTTATGCTAAGCCAACAATATCTCGGATATGAGAGCATTGTATAGAAAAATATAGCATGAAAATTTAAATAAATAAAAAAATTAAAAAAATTAAAAGAATAAAAAAAAAATGTGAATTATGTAAATGTAAAAAGTTATTTTTATATAACGTTACAATATAACGTTATTCAAAAAGAATTTTTTTTCATTAACATAATTTTAAATTTACATAAATTAGATAATTATATTTTTATATATAATTTTAATAAATTATTGATATGACACTTGTAATCCGAGCTGACGATATATAAATCTATTTTGAACATTAACAATATTCAGGGCCGTCCCGAAGAGGTGTTCTATGGGGGAGGGGGTGTATGTATTTTTTTGCCAACTAGAAACACCATAAAAAAAAGGTCCTCAATATTTGCAATTTGCCAACTAGAACTCAAAACTTGCTCAATGTGTCAACTGAAATGCTTATTTGACAGCTTTGAGGGGAGGGGGAGGAGGACATCCACCTACACCTCCATCCCTTCGGCCCTGATAATATTTGTGTAAACATTTAAAAACAAATACGATAAGTTTGTATGCTGGTTATCTTTTTTACTAATGATGATGTAATTGTTATAATGTAATGATTTAATAATGATGTAATTATTATAATGTCATAATTTATTATAAAATTTTTGTGAATATAGGTTTATATGTATGACAATGTAAAGCAGTTCATGCAGAAGACCATTTGGTCTTCTACATTCATTTTACACTGTTACGGAAGTTTATTAATTATTTATGTAAAATCGTTTGCAATTTTTTGTTTTTATTTGTATAACCACTATAAATTCTTTATTATGTAATCACAAACTTGTAATAATTAGGCACAAAAAAAATTTTTGAATAAAAAAAATGAAACTTTTGATCAATAAACTAACAAAACTATGCATAAAATTTAGGTTCGCATGCAAGTTCAAAATGGAAATACTAGTAGAGGAATTATGGATTGTGTCAAAACTATAATAAAAAATGAGTCGGTAAGCTTGATATATATAAAAATTGGGTTTAAAAGTTTTAAACGTAATACAGTAAAATCTCGGCAACTCGAACATCGGCTAATTTGAAGTTAAGTATTTCTCAAACTGTTTCTATATTCCTAGAAGGCAAGAACAATTGTTTTACTTTACTCTATTCAAACGTTTAATTAAACCGTTCACCTTGCTCCCTTTGAAGTTACCGGGATTTTAGTTTATTTGAAAAAGTTTTTGTTGAGGTAGATAGTTTAACAAAAATAAATAAAAATTCCAAAATAATGTGAAAATTTAACATTAATTTATATTTAAGATATTTAAAAAAATTATTTCTATCATTACCAAAGTAGCAACGTTTTTTATTATTATTACTTTTTTTTACAACAATTATTTTTTTGGAATAACCTTGAAATTTAAAATATACATTATGTTTACCTTTTTTACGAGTAGTCAAACAACTTTTAAATAAATTTAATAGCTGAAACTTTATCAAAAGTTAAACAACCTTAAAATATCGTAACTTTATGGCTCACGGTTACCATGTATGCCAACCTAATTCTAACAGTATAGTAAAGAGCGAGTCACGCGAGAAGAGTAATATTGAAAACAAAGTTTAAAACCCAGTGCCGAGCGAAGGCTATCCATACCCCGTAATTAGAGGGGGTAGGGTGTTGTGGGGGAGCAGCAAATTTTATGCCCTTTCGCTATTTTATTTTAGCAAAACTTAACGGTAAAATTTGGAAAATTTTGAGACCCTAATGAAACGTTTTTTTTTTAGGGGAGGGGGGTTGCACTGCTAAAACCTGTTTTTTTTTTACTCAAAAAATAGGCAAACTATTTTTTGCACATGCATGCACACATGCCACCCCTTATATACTGGCCCCTGTAATACAAGCATTTGAGGTTTTTTTTTCCAAGACTACCGCCATAACAATTTTTTGCAAGGCCTCTTCAAATGGCATAGGTATAAACATTCTTAAGTTTGGAGTTGGCACAATGTGTGGAAGTGGTTCATCTGGAACATCAAAAAATCTTGCGGGCGCCCATGCATGTGTGTGCATAGAGAGAAACTATACCTTCTACTCCCTATATAATACATCTTTTTATGTTGGCAAACTAGGATCTTTAGTCAGAACTTTAACTTTTCTATTGACTAGATGGTTAATTGTGTAAAGTTAGAAAATCGAAGTACCTACTTTTAAATTTAACCCTCCTCCCCCCTCCCCATACGCTTTTGTACGCTTTTTGAAGACCTCCCCCCTCCCCTACATGAGCGTACGTACTTTATGAACGACCCCTTATTAGAAATGTTTAGATAGGAAACAGACATCAAAGAACTAAACAAAATTTTTTTAATAAATTTGAACCAACATTATTAATAAACAAAAAATTGTAAAGTTAATTAGCTATTATTCATTTTTTGCATCACGTAAAGGAAACACAAAACTTTATTCATGAAGTTGACTAATTATAGCACTGAGTTTTCTTTGATCTTTTGTTTGTACGAACAGCGTTAACATCCCAGGAAAAATGTTTCTATAGAATTTCATACTTTTGCGGAATGGTTGATTTGGCTCATGGTACTAATATTGCTTAAATGTTATAACTATTCATTATAAATATATTTAAACATAAAAAGCTATAATAGTTCTAAAGGTTACATTAAGTCTATCCCATCAAATTTTATTTTTGAATGCTCTTAAAAGACAATATGAATTATAAAGTAATTACTTAATTTTAATTACCTAACTTTGATATTTAAATATTTTACACAAAATGGAATCAATCAAAATTTCTGAAAAAGGTGAAAAATAAAATACATGCATTTAATAATTTAATTCTTAATATAGAAACTATATTTATTTATATTTTAAGATTTATTTGTTTTATACAATTAAAATTTTATGTGAAGTCTTCTTTAATGATGGTTTTTGTATATGTATGTATGTATGTATGTATGTATGTATGTATGTATGTATGTATGTATGTATGTATGTATGTATGTATGTATGTATGTATGTATGTATGTATGTATGTATGTATGTATGTATGTATGTATGTATGTATGTAAAATAAGATATGAAATTTTTAATTTCTTTGCAGTTTGTTGGATTATACAAAGGTATTACACCACCGTTACTTGGTGTTGGTTTACAAAATGCAATAATATTTGGATTCCAAGGTCAGTTCCGTTCATTTGTAGCAAATGACACAACCGGAGAAATAGCAGCTGGAGGTGTTACTGGTGCGGTGCAAGCTGTGGTTACCACTCCAATTGAGCTTGCAAAAATAAAATTACAATTACAAGGTAGAGATTGCAAAACTTTACTTCATAATACTAAATACAGAGGAGCATTACAAACAATTTTAAAAATTCTTGAGGAAGAAGGTGTTCGTGGATGTTTTCGAGGTTTTACTACTGTTTTAATGAGGGATATTCCCGCAACGGCTATTTACTTTGGTTCTTTTCATTATATGAATGCTTTTTTAATACCAGACGGTAAATCTGTAGATGATTTATGTTTACATCATTTGTTTTTAACTGGAGGCTTATCTGGTGTTATGTCATGGGCAATAGTGTATCCTGTTGATGTTATTAAAACAAGAATTCAAGCCAAAGGAATAATTCCAATAGGACAATATAAATCTAACTACGATTGCTTTTTGGTAAGTTGCCGGGAAGAAGGTTTAGCTTGGTTTTTCAGAGGCTTTGGGGCTACAATGTTAAGAGCGTTTCCCGTCAATGCAGCTATTCTTTCAACTGTAACTTTATTGGTGCGTTTTTTTAAGTCAGCTGATTAATATTGAAAAATATTAATACAAAGTTTGTTAATTTAGTGAGTCATTTTTGAATATAGTTTAGTGCATGCATTCTAGCGATGTTTTGATTGAACTATAAATTTAGTTTAGTTATATATAAACAATGTTATCCTGAGTAAAAGTTCCAATAATTAAAACTTAAAAACTGTTTTAAAGATTTTTAAGGACTTTTTCAATCATTCACATTTATTATAAGTTTGAATTGTTTTGCCAATATACCAAATTATAGATTGCTTATGAGTTTCGTTATTTTAATTTTGTTTAATTTACTGTTTTACACTTTACAGACTGTTTCGCTTTTGTTTTTGTTTGTACATGTTAGTTTATATGTAATACTTAAGTCTTAACAGACGCAAGTATTGTATTGTAGTATGATCCACTGTTGGGGCACAGTGGATCATACTTCAATACAAGATATTTCTTTTGAATTGGTTTAGATAAAATGTACCCTACAATTCACTGGTGCACAACCAATTAAAAGTATTCTAAATCAATAGATAAAAAAAACATGTATTTATTTTACTGTTTCTTAAGATACAATTCAATGCAAGTAAATAAAATAATAAATAAATGTGAAAATAATAATACTTCAATTAATGCCAAGTTAAACAATTCAAAGAAGTTTTTAACTCAAAAGTATTAATACTCTAGAAAAACCTCTACTACTTTTATCAAATGCAGTTACAAGTTATAAATAATCAGTACCTTCGTTCCGAAATACCGTTCCGATTTTAATTCTACGTAAAGAGTTATTGAAAACATACTGTTGTTAACTTTTTTAATTTTTAAAATAAAATGAATTTTTTGTTGAACATTTTGAACATTAAATACTAATAGAATATAAAACGTTCAAAATGTTCAAGTAAAAATAGATTTTTAATGAAAAATTTAAAAAATAATTTATTTTAAATAATTCTTTATGTTGAGTGCAAATCGGAACTGTATTTAGGAACAGAGGGAGTATAATTTTAAATAAACTACAGTTAATTCCCGATAACTCGAACCTCCTTTTGTATAGGAAATTTCTTAATTTCCTATACAAAAAGTTCGAGTTAACCAATGAATTTTGCTAAAAGGGGACGAAAAAGTAGTTCGACTTATCAAAGTTCGAGTTATCCGAGGTTCGAATATTGGAGTGTCTATTCGAGTTATCGGTTCGAATATAGAGTGTATATTGGAGTTCGAATATTCAAGTGCAAAGTCATGCATGGACGCAGCTTTTTTCCAGAGCTATTAGGGGCCCAAATCAAAATTTTCAATTTTTTTTTAAAAAGTTGTCATTCTTAAAAATAATATGCATGTATACAAACATAACGATATTAGTAATTTTTGCTATTATTAAATGGCTAAGAACTACAAACTCTTTTTCAGACTATTTTTTTTTAAATAAATAAAATTTGTACAAGATATGTATAAGTTTTTATTAACAATACAGAGTATGCAAACATTAAAAATAGCAAAACTGCTTTATTACAATCAAGAGATACATAAAAAAAACCATCTGTCCGCTTTCTTGTACTAAAAACTAAACGTTTTTAATACAAGATAGCATTTTTACTTTTTTATTAAAACAGCAACGTTTTTCCTTTTCAGTAAAAGTATTGCACAGCCCCATTTTTGCTTGTTAAAAACAGTAATCAGCTGACAGTGGATATTTAATGCTTGTTCTTACTATTAAAGCTTTTAGTGAAAGTCAACCTTATATATTTTGTAAAAAATTAAAATAATATTTTAATAGTAAGCACTGTTTGTCAATTTTGACCCTAAACCTCAAATTGAGGAGCAAAAAAATGAAAATATGTCCAGTAATCTAAACTAACCCGAGGTTCAATAAATCAGAAAATTTTAATAGTAATCACATTGACGATTTCAAAGGACTAAATGAAGCAGTTAAAGTTAACAAAAATTCGAGTTAAACGGTCTTCAACAACCGGGAATTTACTATATATTCAAAAGTTGTGCGTATAACAAACTAATTTTACTTTTTTGTTAGCAAAATTCAAAATAATGTTAGCAAAGTTCAAATTTTTTTTTTTCAAAAATTACGATAACAACTTTAAAGGGCAAGTAAATAGCTAATTCATCTGCTTCACAGTTCCCAAATGCATTTTTCACAGCAATATCAAAATCAATTTTTTTGCTATTCTCATATAAGTTTATATTTATCGAATTTTAAGTATTGTTGTACAATCTCTAAGCGTTTGAAAATTATGATCATATAAAATTTGTAACCCCCTCATATTGATGGGGATTAAACTTTAGATGGTCATAACTTTTGAAAGCTTAAAGGCAAACTATGAAACTTAAAATTTATCGATAAATATAAATTTAGTTGAGAATAGGTTAAAAATATTTTATCAACTTGTTGCAAGGGAGATGAAATTTTAGGGCTTTTTTGTTCCCAGCCTCCAATCATCGCAAATTTTTGCAAATCATCATTATTTTGCAAATCATCATTATTACATGAGTGTAAACATACCAATGTTTGGAGTTTGCTTCATGTCTGGAAGTCATCTCAAACACCAAAAAAATGCTGGATCCGTCACTGATCAAAACAAAGTTAAATACAAATTTAGATGGCTAGTAGTAAAAAATATATTTAAAGACAAAACAGCTTTTGACATCTGTAATCCTGTATATATATATATATATATATATATATATATATATATATATATATATATATATATATATATATATATATATAGTATATATATATATATATATATATATATATATATATATATATATATATATATATATATATATATATATATATATATATATATATATATATATATATATATATATTGATTTTTTTGATATAATTGATTTTTTTGAGAAAATTAAATAAAAAATACATAATTTGTACTACTAAAAGTTTTATGCGTTTAGCAATCATCAGGTAAAATACATTGCTTTTTCGTTAAAAAATATATATAATAATAAGATTGTAACGTTCAAAAACAATTATAAAATGTTACTATTTGCAAGCGTGGTTTGGTTTTTATAATCTTTTCTTTCACTTAACATTAGCTCTAGTATTGTTGTTTAACCTCCTCCGGCTAATTGCCATATAGAGGTCACTTTACCAGAAGTCCGCAAAGACTAGTTGAGCTCCCGAGGGAGCGTCATACCCACTCTACGGACTGAGAGTAAGGTGAGTTTGGGAAGAACGAAGATATGTTAGAATGAGAAATAAAATTAGTTAAGTTAGAAAGATGGCATAGAGTAAGCGGACAGGATTGCACACAATGTTAGAGAGTGCAATACATACTGTTAGTTAGGTCATCTAACTAATGTACGCCGACAAAGTTGTGATTAGAGTTTGCCTAACATGAGCTCTACTTCAACTTTCTTTGTCGTCCTAGGGACACATAAAAACTAACCTTTTGTATAAAAATTTGATTCTAAAGTGCTTGCAGCCTAGTTTTATTATTGAATAGTAAATATATAATAAAATTAATGTTTATTTTCTGAAATCGGCTAATACTGCGCTTGTGGGTTTGTATCTTTTTTTTTTAATAAAATTGAAAAATATAACTTACAATATAATTTTGTCTAATATTAATATAAAAATATATTACCTATGTGGGAGGACGAGGGTGGCAATGCAAATGAAATATTTATACTATATCTTATTTTACTTTTATATAAAAAAATGTTATCCTTTAAAAAAATATATTCCGCGAATTGGCGTAAGTACAAACTAGCATGAGCGAAATAACAATTTGCGTTATTCCAATATTTGCAATTTTATTCGACGCACTTATGCCAGTTCGCACTTTAATCCGGGATGCTTAATAAGTGCGAACTAGCTTAAGTACAATGCGTTGCAAAAACTGGCTCAAGTGCGATCTGGCATAAGTGCGAATTGGCATAAGAGCGAAATAACAATTTGCGTTATGCCAATATTTGCAATTTTATTTGACGCACTTATGCCAGTTCGCACTTATGCCAATGTTGCAAATTTTTTTGGCTCACTTATGCCAGTTCGCTTTGTGCTAGTTTTTGTAACTGCTTTGCACTTATGCCAATTTGCATATATTCCAGTTCTTACTTACACCATTCGCATATTTAGCTCGATTTAGTTTCAAATGTCTTGACATTGCTAAATATCGTGACTCTCTATAAAGACCAAAAAGTAGAGGAAAAAAAAATAGCTAAAACATTTGCGAAAAAATTAATGTTTTATAATCTTTTTTTTTTTCACCTAATATGATCTTTTACTCAACTTTCTTTGTCGTCCATATCCCGCTAAAAACTAACATTTTATACAAAAATTTTCCAGAAAATTGGTATTGTGGTTTATCCTCCTCCGGCTAATTGCCATATAGAGGCCTCATTACCAAGGAAGAACGAAGATATATGTTAGAATGAAAGACAGAAGTAGTCGAGTTAGAAAGATAGCACAGAGAAAGCGGACAGAGTTGCACCCGATGTTAGAGGGTGCTAAAACGCATTGTTAGCTAGGTTCAACCAACTAATATACGCCAATCAAAGAGTTGATTGGAGTTCACTTAACGTGAACTCTTTCAACTTTCTTTGTCGTCAAAGTTTTCTAGAAATTTGCTTGCGTATTTGTTTAAATTTTGACACAGTAATGACAAATCTTTTTATTTTTAAAATAGGTTAATATTGCTTATGGGTTGATTTACTTTGACAAATAGTCCGTAGCCCAATATTTTAACATATATTTGTACATTCCACGCTGATTGGGTGTTTATAAATATATTGAAGTTTATTCTCCTCAGGCATTTGCCGTGCAGAGTTTTAATAAAGAATAAAGTAGTTATATTTACAAGGTGGTCTACTGTTCCACTACTAGGTCAAAAAAAGACATAATCTCTAGAGACTACACGAGAAAAAAAAAAAAAAACGAAGAAAAAAACGAAAAAGTAAAAAAAGAATTCGAAAAAAATAATCTGGGCGTTTGAGTTTAAAAAAAGATTGTTGTTCATTTTTATATTAATTTTACTTTCGTTGCTCCAGATTTGTGCAAGTTCTAATCGAAAAAAATTCTTTTTATTTGTTGGCTTCGAAATTTCGAA